GTATGAGTTTTTAATATTTAATTTTTAAGATGAATGTTACCCTATAAAATTCGATTCTGTATCTATAAGAGCTGGGAAACGTTCCGTTAACGAAATGGAAGTTTTCGAAAATTAACGAAAGAGTCCATTAACGAATGGCAAAAACCGTTAATCTTAAATCATTAACTAATGAAAATAGCCGTTGCCTGTTCTTGAAAAAAGAAATACATATATCGTAAAAAAAGAACGAACGGATGTGTTCAAAAGAACGTCGACTTTCGTTTTTATATGCGTATAAAGCGTGAAACTTGCGGTAAGAAATATGTATTTTAAAGTTTTAAAATGTTGTATACTCTATTTTCCCCCGCTTTTTTGTTGAATAATGATAGAATTTTATGCGTTTTCGTGTTTTTACATGTTTTTCGACCTTTAAGGATTTCTAAAATATCTTTCGTTAATGCAATCGTTAATAATATTGATCATAGTGATGAGTATAAAGGATAACTTTTAGAAATAACGGTAACTATAATAACGTTAACAAAACGAACGAAACGGGATATTCTAACATACGGTTAGCTGATTTTTAAAAATTTTCACGGTTTTAACTAACCGTTACGAAAAAATCTAACTAAAACGAAACGATCGTTATTTAAATCGATCAGTTTGTTTTCATGATTTTGAATGCAGAAAATTCGATGTTTTTTGTTTGTAATTGGATGATGCGTTTTTTGTTAAGTGAGTTAATTTCGATTTTTTATACCCATGCACTCACGGCCTCTCCTGATATTTTTTATATTGCAAAAACCTTGAACAAAGGAACTGCCTTTGCTACAAACTCTGATTTTCTAATCTCTATATCTTTGCAATCTAATATGTTGTATAGACCTTGGTTTTACAAACTAAGAATTCTGTTTCATCAAGTTAAAAATATTTAAGGGTTTCACTGCCAGATGTGATAGTGATAGTTGGTGAGTCCTTATAACCATTCTAATCCTGCTCCTGCAGCTCATACCTACTCGAAAAATCCCAAATACCCTAACCTGCAGGGGCGCTAATAGAAATTTGTCCAAAAGGGGGGAGGGGGCTTAATATCTTTTATGCTTTGCACTCCCTCCCCCTGGGGGCTTTCAGCTGTGCCGCGCGCTGGGGGCTGATTACGTCTGGGAACAAGGGGCGTATATAGGATTTTCTGCGGGGGGGGGCTTAAATTTTTTCTTT